AATTGTAACAAGCTGGTGCTGTCGTAATGACAAAGGCAATTATGAAAAGAATATACCACTTTTTCCCGGCGTCTAAAAGAGGAGTAGCTCATTCTCGATCTGGTCGGGCGGGAAAGGCCCCCCCCCCGCCGCCTTACCGTTAATTAAAATGCCTTACGGCTTGCCTTCTTCTAAAGGCAGCAGTGGACGATGATGAGAATTTTTGCAAGAGAGTCATCGCGTCTGAGAATCAGAGATTTAGCACGCTGATGCTATAATTCCACACCAGTGACTGCTTCATTTCCTTCTTATGCGGGTACTCCTGTCTTACCCCTGACACGAAAACTGCCCGGAGAGTTGAATTATCGCGAAACGTCAAATTTACGAGTTTCTCAACACATGGCTAGGAGTAGAGTAAGTCGTTCTAGTCATATTAAAAACTGCACGGACATGTTAGTTATTCTACCAATAACTTGTTCTGAGCAGAGGTGTTGTAGAAATTATTATAGCATTTAATAGTAATATTATTGTTGGTAATTTAAAAAATTCATCTAAATATTCATTGTGGAGTGACATTTGTCTGACTTTAGTTAGGATTTTCTCACTGTAGAACTGAAACTTACTGTCGGTGACAATTATTACATCTTCATGTTTCTGTTGCATCTTCGTGTTCACAATTCACATCACATTCATCTGGTGCTATCTGTTCATCTACTAGTAATACTTTGGAGTTTAGATATATTTTTTATGAGATAAATCTTTCTAGAGTTAATTTCTTGTGAAGATGCATGTTTTATCATAAACAAAGTGTAAACATAAGTGGATTATGTATCAGATTGACAAACATGACATAGGTCAATGTATGCAATGATACCTGTCGCGTGGTGATCCACTTACTCGAGTTTTCTAAATACGCGAACTGTAATCGATTTTTGTGATATATTCCACTGTTTTTACGTCTTTGACTGGAACAGTGTGCATAAACGCAAGCTATCACAACAAGTTCGCGTTCCTTAATACTGATTTGATAACAATATGTGCAATGCACTTACGAAAATAGTCAGAAACGGTTGCCAACACTCCACAACTAGTATCTATTCGGTCCCAGTGCTCAAATTCTAGAAGCATTTGCTTTGAAAGTATTAGGGAAGTGGGAAAGATCAATTTAAGGCTACGAGAAATATACTAATCGCTATGGCTGGACATTTAGAACGAATATGCATGTTCTTTCTGTGAACTGTAAAACAAACTGTCTATATATCCACCTTTGAGAAACTTATTTCGCAACAATAATTTCGCTCAGTTGGCGTCATCATGATCTCAAATAACTACGTTAATAATATAGATATAATAATACCACTACTAGTTATATAGTATTTAGAAGTATATATATGTACTATTGTCAATCAACATTTAGTGAGCCTATAATGAGTTTCTGTGCGACGAGGACGTTCTACTCATTCAGCCACATTGCGAGGTTTTCTTTGGAGTTCAGAATGTACAACGGTTAGCTCCATATTTCGGACACTAGCTCTCAATTAGATCATCATTGGCGAAGAATTTAAAGAACTCGATCAGTTCAATCGACACTACACTTGCCTTTTTGTAACAGAATTAACGTTTATGATGTGTTCCGAGGTCTGAAACCATGTGAATGAATCCGAAAAACAGATAGACATTTATTTTAAGTTTGAGAGACTTTCAATCAAACTTGACATTATTATGAACAGTTTCTTAACTCATTAGAATTCGCACGATATCGACGGCTATTAATTAGAACTCCCGACGGCTCACCCGTAAAAAGTCATTGCCATAATTCGAATAGAATCTAAATAATTATGTTCCAAACTACATTAACGCTTGTGAATTCCATATAAAATGTGCGGAATCTATTGTCAGGAATATGTCGAGCGCTATACGTTATTAGATCTTATATTCTTTTTCTTCCATATCTTCCACGAAATACCATAACATCCATTAATCCTCTCGGCCTGCCCTAACGTAAGATCATCTGTTGACTAAATTTATTCACCCGCATCTAACATTGGCCGTTACTTCACACAACCCGGTCTAAACGGTGTTACGCAAAAGTAACTGCCGGTACGAAATACAATAATTACAGCATAGAGATTAAGTGTGTCGCTGCTTCTGCGGCCTAGCCAAGCGCAGTATGTATGGACTATTGGCAAAAACAACGGTGTTCGATAGCATTGCTGGTATATACGCACCAAATACTTAAACGAAAATGCTGTATGCGTCACTAGCATCTTCTGACGGCATTCCTGTTATCGCGACATGCGCGTCGCGCTTTCACGGATGATCAAGCGCGCGGAATAGAACCGAACGACGCTACCTCTTTATGCATCTTGACTTTGACAGTTCAACCCTCGCATATCCTATCGTATCTACATTCTCTCCCACTATGTGTGAAAACAATATTAGATCGAAGGAAACACCAACAGGAACGCCACAGCTAATTGAGCGATCAATATGTTGAACCGGATAACGGCGTCTTAGATAAGTAATGTAAATTATGAAACAATCAATCGATCAGTTCAATTCAGATCGTTACAAGTCTGAAGATCATATCGCAACGTCCAATTTTCCTCAACGCTTACGATTCTCTAGTATGTCAAATACAAACTCGAGCTCAATGATCATAGATCAATCAATCAGATCATGAGTAACCGAGATCGAATCGACTCCAAGTCAATCTAATCGATAAGTTCCAAATCAATCGAGTCAGTCAATTTCAATCTGATCAGTCAATCAATCGATCAGTCAATCAAAGCGATCGAGGTAAACCAATTCTGATTTATCATGCTCATCATCTACATTCTCGAATCAGTACCAAAATAATCATTATCACACTTGGTCAAAATATCTATTCCGATTTTCAACTCAATCCGAGTCGTATACTAGTTCACATCGAAATCTGATCTTTAGTCTCACTACCTCTACTGCAGTCAAATCGATCTCGATTCTCAAAAGGTCAATCACCATGAGTGCTGATTTCCTAGCCGTGCAATCAATGCTGATAGCGTACAAAACGAAAGGACTGTGCACGTATCTCATTCAAGTTCAAAATCGATCCAGGGTCAACCTAATCCTCTAGCTAGCAGTGCAATTGCAATCTCGTATCACGTCAGATTCAATTCGATCGAGGGATCAAGACTCAAATCGATTGGTCAGATCAATACCTAAGTCGATTCAAGTCAATCAAATCTCGATCAGTCATACTCAATCGGATACAGTCAACAATCATCATCAATCAATCGATCAGTCAATCAATCGATCAGTCAACAAAGCTCTCTTATCACGAAGAGAAGGAGGACCAGCCCAGACAAACAGAAGTTTGCTCCGCCGTGAGTGCAAAACAGCTAGATCAGGTGACAAATAGGGGTGAGAAAAGGGTGAAGCCACCTGTGCGGAGGTAGAAACCGTATCTCTAGCGATTGTGGCGAAACGACAGGCAGACGGGGACATGGTGCCTAGTCGCCGAAGCGACAGACCGTGTTTGCGACGTAGGATGGCTGCTTCGGCGAAGTGAGATCCGACTAGGCAGTATCGGTCGATCTTCACAACAGCAGGTTCAAAATTGTATAAAAGCAAACATATTGTAAAGAGAAAGTTTCACCTTTTTAATCTATTGTAATAAATATCCATAGAGAAAAATTTTTAAGCCAAAATCAAATGCAAAATGTTTAAAGATGTTTTGTTCGCCAAGCTAAGAAGAACTATAATGTAATATTTATTTTATTTAAAGTCGCCATCATCGACTATTTAATGTAAAAAGTTTTTTTTTAAAGAAAATTCCACGATAGTTATATATTCCCCCTTTTTTTGATTCCTATCAATAGGAGATGATTCTTTGAAAAAATGTATTAATCAATAACGGGTGTCCTTTTATAAGACGTTAAGACCAATTCCTTAAAAGTAGGAGTAATCCCAAATAATCTTCATCAAAGCCAGACCAAATTATATTAATTTTTTAGTTTACTTCATCATTAATTTGGCTACCAGTTTTGGGGATGCGGTGTCGTCCCCTATCTCATCTAGAGCTAATACTACCAAATTTCAAATTATTTTACAATATGGTAAATTAGATTAAACGAATTAAACTGTTAAACATATGTTAAAATTTTTTACAATCATGTCGCAGCGACCATACAATCGAGTAATATTAATAAGGGTTTTAAATTTGGATAGAGATGACCAACGTACCAACAACACAGTAGAGCCATAATAGAGATTTCTTATGTAGGCATAGCAAACTTTTTCGTTATAACTATTTCACACTCTACCTCTAAATTCAGCATGCGTTTCTACTCCGCTGCCTTCCTGCATTTCCGTGCAAAGACTTACTGGGCCGGTATAGCAGCGAAGACATGACGCGGTGAATTCAGGAAAGAAGCGTGGCAACGGTTTGGGGCAAGAAAGCAGAAGGTACTGGCATTGGGCAGTATGGACTCCGGCCCCCAATAGCCATGCACAATCCACGTGAAGCGAGAGACCTAGCAGAGAGCGACCTTCCGATGGCCAGGGGTAGCCATAGCGGAGTAATTATATTATGGCTCTTTAGGTGCGCCGGTAAAGTTGCGACTTTACCATCAATTCGAACTGTTAATATTTCCAGGTTGTTACTATATAAAAAAGCAATCGATCATTAATGTGTATGCTAGATAGGTATGTGGTGGACTTACCCAATGCGCCAAAACCTGTAAGGGCCCACAGACGGAGCTTGACTAGACTAACCAAGAAAATGGAAGAGAAAATTAGTAAATGAGAATAGTTGGCGTATAAATGACGTCGAACCTGTGCGCAAGAAAGAATGTCGAAATTCTGAATAGGATAATCTTTAGAATAGGAACTATTGTGTGTGAGCATATGAGCAGGTTAGCATACCTATATGTCAACGGTTCATCGGCTGCATGGAAGAGAGGGACGGGGAGCAACACTCCCCTTGTGCAATGTAATTTTTACGGTGCACCACACACTGAAGAACACTGTCGAACTGATGTTATCTCGAGGAAAGATAGGGGTTAAATTATGTATATTCCAAAGTTCTAACAAATAGTCAGACTGAAGAAAATAATGATCTATGCAGTTCCCCCCTGTGGTAGATTGTGGATCTTAATGGTCTTGGAGTTTAGTGATACCCAGGATTAACTACGGGGAACAATACTAACAAAAGACTAAAAAAAAATATTATAGTGTTCGATTTATGGAGTGCATTGAAGATAGGAAAACGAAAAATGCGATAAATACAGATAGGGATTAATGAGTCTATAATGGATTGGCCCTTCATCTACTAGCCACGTCAAAGTTCAGGAATCGATACAACATTAGCTAGTAGCTAAACTGGATGGACGGTATCGATGTCCCGGCCGCCTGAATGCATCTGTTCAGCTCCTTTTCAGCGCCCAACAATGATTCCACAGAACGAGGCAACCACTATTCTACAAAAATATTCAACCTGTTTCGTTCCGTTCCGTACCATTACTACATCATAGGCTCTCATCTTTATCTCCGTACCATGCAACGACTACGACGTCTGACTCCATCTCGCCACGGTGACTCATAACGTTAAAACTCAATGAGTGGCGCATTAATGAAGAACTCTATTGTTAGTCTAGATGCGCGAGGGCATTTAGAAAACGGAC